AAAAGTCTTGTATTATTCTTTCTCTAAATGACATATCATTTTACTTTAGTTCAACAGAGATGAAGACTACAGAAGCACCTTCACTCACTCAATTCAACGAGTTAGACACTCAATTAGTAAAGACCTCAGTGCCAGACACCATAGTTAGTATCCAAGTTACCATTACTACAATTACTATTAAAGCATGATCCCTGCAGCCAAGGATTGGCTACTTTGTCCTCAATAAAGTGGTGACTGGTTCAGAAAAATGTAAGAGAGAAAATACAGTTGATTCAAGGGCAGCTTGGTATAAATCCCAGCTCTGCCACTAGCTGCGAAAGCTTAGGCAAGTCAGTTAACCTATAAAAATAAAGCTTATGTGTGTGTGTATATATATGTATATATATAAATATATAAAATATATACATAAGAGTTGCTTGCTATAGGACAAAATGTGATATATAGTGGGCACTAAGTTGGTCTTAGTTTCTGTCATTTCCTTTTCTCAAACTCACAGGTAAGCTCACCCTAAAAATGTCTCTATACTTCGCTCAAGTTTTGCTTATTACCTACCATAATCCTAACAAGGTTAAGTGTGTTACACTTAAAGTTTTACAGTATTTTTTCCAACTCTGTATTGCTGGATACAACTACCATCTTTAGAGATATCTTACCTACTATGCCCTTAAGATATTGCAAATATTTCAATAATAGGAAATTCTGCATTAAAAAATGAATCTTTTAATCTGTATGTATAAGAATTCAGAATATAAAGACTGTCTTGTACTAGAACTGTCATAATAACAGAATGGCTCATAAAAAGGCAGTAATCAAACTCCGTTAGCTGAAGTATAAGTAGCATAAGAGTTTGCCCACATGTATATAATCCCTTGCTCCAATCTCTGAGAAATTTCCCTTCCATGAATATGTAAGACCGGTGATACTGCTATTACAACTCAGAACCTGCCTGCTCATTTGGGGTTGAAAATTCAAAACGAAGCCCAGTAACCTCTGATTGCTACACATATATGTATAATAAAAGAGAACTACGCTATTAAAAAGATAACTACGCACCTGGCCCCGCCCCCAAATACTAGAGTCCAGTCCGTAGGGGAAATTCTTTCATTCGACAAACATTTTCATTATGCGTCTACTGTACGCCAGGCATTGCAAACGCAGTGAATAAAACTGACCAAAAAAACCCTTCCCTCCTAATAACAGGAATGTGCCCCGTAGGGTAAGGGTGCCCTGGGTCTCGGCGCCCAGAGACCGAGCCCTGGCCGCGCCTCTTTCCCGCAATGGTTAATCACACAGACGCCGTACCGAGGGCCTGAGACTAGCAGCCCTGACACACAGCCTCGGCCTCTGCGTTCTTAACCATCACGGGCCCTAGGGGCAGGCAGGGGAAGCCCACCACCCCGACCAACTCGCTCCAGCCGGGCGGAGAGGAAGCGAGGGGCGCCACGTGCGCACCCGGGCGCGCGCCCCCGCCGCCTTCCGTCCGTCCCGCGCAGGCGCCGCCGCAGCCCTCGTCGCGCGCGCCCCGCACGCTCGCTCGCGGCTCTTGGCTCGCGGCTTCTTGGCTCGCGGCTTCTTGGCTCACGGTCCCGGCCCCACCTGCCCCGGTTCCACGGGGCCCCGACCCTACCACCCGTCGCTTCTTACCGGCGCGCTGGCCCCGGCGCCCCGGCCTCCCCGGTCCCGGCGGCCGCCTCTCGGGGCACCTCCTCCTCGGCCGCCGCGGAAGCCCCTGCCGCGACCCCTGCGGCCGCCTCCGTCCCCGCCGCCGCCGCCGCCTCTCGCCACTGCCGCTGCGGCTCCAGCCCGCTCGCTGTGGCGATCTCCGCCTGGCCGTTCGCGGCCGGGCCGCCGCCCGCGGCCGCCCCGAGCTCCCCGCTCCGCCTGCATCTGGCCGCCGCCGGCGGTGCTGAGCGCGCGGGAGCCGGGCCGCCGCGGAGACGCCCTGGCCCCACCGGAAACGGGCCGCACGGAGGAGCAGTGAGCGAACGGCGCCCGGTGGCAGCGGGGTGCTGGGCCGGGATGGAAGCCGGCTGCGGCGGGGCGGGGCGGAGCGGCCGGGGTCCCCGCAGGTGGGGCCGGAACCCGGGCACCGGGAAGGCTGGGGGCGCGGAGGGACGGCCCGACTAGGGGGAAATCTGCAGGGGTACGCCTCAAGGCACCCAGATGGGGGCGTGGGGCCGTGGTAAGTAAAGGGACAAGTCATAAAACAAATACTGTACGGTATGAACTCATTTTTGTAAAAAAATAAAAATAGAAAAATAAAAAATTCAAGCATAT